ATTCCTTAGCTTTCCAGTCTCATGGCTGAGGTACCGGCTGCAGCCATTTTTCTTGCCACAACTCTATGGCATTTCAAGGTCCTTGCCAGCAAGCAAGCTGCATCATTCTGTTCACAGATCACACTCAGTCGAACTGCCTGCCTGAAAGAGTCAGAGTTTGCCCTGGCAGGATGGTTGGCATTTTAAAACAGCACAGCTTTTTTTCTGCTATGGCTGAAAACCAAAAAGCATGCATTCAGCTTTTCCTCAACACAGTTTAAGTTTTTCATGACAGGACCTCTGAATAAGCTGCAGGATTCTGCAGCTAAAGCTGAGTCAGGAAGCCTCTCTTAGATGAGAGCTCTTGCTTGCCTCTAGCAAGCAAAGCAGACCCGAGAAATTGCTGCTACCAAGAAAAAATGCTTTACTCTATTCTTTTCCAAGCTTTCTCAAGCTTTCTGTGGATTCAGTTTCCACGTGGATGCCATCTGTAACATGAAGGCCGGCTTGTTGGGGTTTCTGTCCCACCCGGTACCTCACAGCCGGCAATTCCCAAAGAAAATAACACAGAGTCTACATTAGGTTATAAACTGATTGGCCCATTAGGTCAGGCTACTTATTAGCTCTTATAACATATATTACCCCATTATCCTTATCTATGTTAGCCACATGGCTCAGTACCTTTCTCAGCTGGGCAAGTTACATGCTGCCTCTTCGGTAGTCTGCTCAGGAATGGCAGAGGGAGCTTCCTGCTTCCCAGAATATTCCCAGTCTCTTTGCTCCACCTCTACTTCCTGTCTGGCTTTCCCGCCTATACTGCCTGCCTGGCCAATCAGCGTTTTATTAAAATATGATTGACAGAATATAGACAATTCTCCTGCATCACTTGCTTGTGTCATCAGAGATGTTGACATCTTGATGGTGACATCATCTGCTCTAGGCCTTCCAAGGTGGCATCAGCTTTCTATTGCTGCTATAACAAACTGCCAAGAATAAACTCAGTATTTTGCAGTTCCAGAGGCTAGAAGTTCAAAACTACCTTCTTTGAACTACAATCAAATTTTCAGCAGGTCTGATGTATTTTAGAGACTCTAGAAGCATTTATTTTCTGGCCTGCTCCAACTTCTTAGGCCATCTGCACCCCTGGGCTAATGGTCCCCATGTAATCATCCACATATAACTTCTGCTTCCTTTGTTATACCTCTTACCCTGACCCATCTTCATCCTCTTGTCTCTTATGAGAATGTGATTACATTCACTCCATCCATCTCATCCCAAACACCTCCTAATTGATGATCCTTAAAATGCACTCACGTTTGCCAGGTTCCTTCTACCATCTAAAGCAGCATGTTCATGGGTTCTGGGGATGAAGATGTGAACATCCTTAATGGATGAGTTATTGTACTGTCACACCGTTCTGATCCCAGGGAGCATGCCCAGTGATTTGGAATTTAACTTGGAAAGTTGCAAGGGCTGTAAGAGGTGAGCCTGTCCAATAGCCTATTACAGTCATGAAACAGGAGGATGTGTGCTCTGTGGAGGGGTCAGAGAGTCTCCGCAACCCGAGTCTTCAGTTTCAAACCCAGACACATAAGATCCAGCTCAGTCAGTAGTATCCCCCATACCTCCTGAATGATAAACGGTGACCCCAAAGACTATCCCTTGCCTCTCCTTAAAGACTATGCGTGTGGATAACCTTCAGATTGGGAGCCTGGTCTCCCATTACCGCCACTTCCCATGAAACGAGAGGCAGCGTGATTTCTCACACACTGCAATCATTTCCTTTTCTCATAAAGATGCTAATCAGGGGAAGGGCAATTATCTCAGCAGCCATACCAGCTTTTTGGCGTGACATTATTGACTGTTGAAATTACGTGTATTCATCTGCTGCTATTTTAACGTCTGCCTTCTCTTTCCCCTCAACTGTTCCGCCCACTGATCGATTCCACCCTCCTACCCTGCTTCTGACTTATTAATCTGGGGAGAAAAACTGACGTATTTTCAGTTGGCTGAAGCTGCTAGCAGGACTCTGATACTAAGGGCTGTGATCATGAATTGTAGTCTGTTGGCTGGTGGCCAGCCACCACCCACTGGAGGTCTCAGGAGGCTTCACCTTTGTTTCTACCAACAAAGAAATTGCTGACAACAGTCCCTGTGTCTGGCTGCATGAGCTACATGGTCCTTTAGAACCCTGGGATTATTCTACTAGATTAGTGCAAGTCATTTCCCAACCTAGTGAGCTGCAAACTTACAGCTCAAGCCAAAGTGTTCTCTCTCTCTCTCTCCTCTCTCTCCCGTGTGTGTGTGTGTGTGTGTGTGCGCGCGAGAGAGAGTGTGTATGTGTGAGTGTGTGTGTGCATGCATGTGTGTGTGTGTGTGTGTGTGTGTGTGTGTGAAAGAGAGAGAGAAGAAAAGAAGGCTGCTAACACTTTGTGGGGTTAAAGAACATGCATTTGGGAGACAAAGTCTAAAGCTGGAGTGACACCGTACACTTTCTGTTTTATATTTTTTTTATTTTTAATTGTGTGCATGCATGTGTGTCTCTGTGGGGTATTTTCATAGGAGTCAGCTGTCCTTGCAGGTCAGAAGAAGGTGTCAGATGTCCTGAAGCTGGAGCTACAGATGGTTGTGAGCTGACTGATGAAGTGCTGGGAACTCCAGTCCTCTGCTCGGGCAGTATGGTTCTTAACCGCTGAGCCATCTCTAGCTTCCCCAGACTGTATTTCTTATTACTAGTTACATGATGTGGACAAGTAAATTAACCTGTCCAAACCTTGTTTTTCTTTCTATAAGATGGAAAAGATAGTACTGAGTTTCTAGGTTATCTTAGGGTCTGTGTAGAATGCAAGATCATGTAGAATACATGAACTGAACTGTGTAGTCAATGATGTTTGGCTTTCATCTCCGTGTCTGATAACAAAACCCCTAAGAGCCTTGGAATCTTCAAAGCGGTGGATTTTTCTCAATAACAATAAGTTGTCTGAAGACTGAAGTCCCTAGGGAGCTTCATGGGGGCTTGTCACTGGAAGAACTAAGGCAGGACTTGAGAGCTAGTGGGGACTAGGAGGACCGAAAGACTGACGTTAGTTTGTTACTAGCAGCTAACAGCTTCATCAGCCGTGTCCATGCAATGAAATCTCCATGAAAACATAAAAGAGTTGAGTTCAGGGAGCTTGCCTCCTGAAGACACATGGGTTCCTGGAGTGTGCTCAGCAACATCCAGGCCTTGTCCTGTGACTCTCTTTATCTGCAGCCTTTAGATTCAATAGGTAAATACAAGAATCTCTCCAAGGTCCATGGGTCAGTCTGGAAGGGGGCTGTGCGCGTCAGGATTCACAACTACTGGGCCAAAAGTCCAGATAAAGCAGCCTGGGTTTACAGTCAGGCCTCACCCTCTGTATCTGACCCCATCTCCAGGTAAACCGGGTCAGAACGGAATGCTGGCGCCAACACAGTCAATGCTGGGAGATGGGTGCTGCGAGTGACCCTACTTTATAGATCTGGACACTGAGTGTTAGTTCAGGCAAGGAGGTGGGGGAGGGTCTTGAGGGGCAAGTGGCAGGGCCATGGCCACTCCTGGTGGTAGAAGTGGCTTTAGGGCTTTTCTGCAGAACTGAGGCCAGAGGAAGGTCTTTGTTTGTTCTAACTTCTCCTTCCACTAAGCCCTTGGCTACCTCAAGTCACTGAAATGGAGAAAAGTCAGAGTCCTGGTGTGGGTCATGACAGCCTGGAGCAGTCCCAGATCTATGCACACTGTCATGAGACAGTCACCAAAGAGTGGGACATCCACACAGTTAAGGTTGGGAGCCAGTGTCCGATCATTTCACAGCGTCCTTAACTGAGACAGCGCCACCTGCTGGCCGCTCTCTCTGGCAGGCCAGCTCTAGCCCAGGAAGGAAAGCAGGCCTGAGAAAGGCATGAACTCAGGCTCCCCCTCCGCTAGGAGTACTTTGCAAACACTAGAAATGAAATGAGATTGTGAACTAAGATAGAACTCTGCTGCCAAAGAGCACAGCTGGGCCACATCTGTGCTCACCTCATGACAGGTATTTCTAAAGACTCCATTTTACTTAGGAACTTCCTTGGCAGAACTCAGCGCTTGACCCCATTGCCCTCCAAGCACTTTTAGGGAACAGGCTCTAGAACAAGATGAACCTGGCCTCCATTGGCGTTCCTTTATACTCTGGGTCACCTTGAACAAGTCACTTGACCTCTGAGCCTCTCAGGCTCACTTCTCTCATTTGCAAGGGAAGAGATGTCTGATCTGCCCATCCACAGGCTCGCACACACCCACAGGCTAGCTCCTACGTCCTTTGGAAGCACCGGAAGGCACACACGCATGTGGCACACCCTTGACCTGGGGTGGCTCTGACCTCCTCACTGTCCTCATCACTGCTGCAGAGGGATAACCAGGAAGTCAGAGCAGTGACCCTGGGACTTCCGCTTTAAAGCAGTGTGTGTGGATGGGGAGGTTAGTTTGAAAGTCAAAAAATGTTCAATTGTATAATATAAATTGATGTTTGAAAAATTAAAAAAACATTATTTTTATACACAGGAAAGAGCGAACTTCAACATATCCCTAAGTAAAGTAAGGGTTAGCTCTCCCACCTGCCTCAGGCATGGATGGGCAAGGGAAGGGGCATCTCTCTGCCACCCATGCCGCCACATGACAGATGAGTGATGGGGACAGCGCTTCCATGCTCACAACTTCAGGGTTGGCTCATCCACATCTCTACCAACAGGATGGTTTGGTTCCATCTGGCTGCGCTGGCGAGGCTCAGGGCCTGCTCCTCCAAGTGTGGCAGCTGGTGGGGGACAGTGGTAGCTCTCTTGCTTTTATGACCTTGAGGCCAGCTCACCCACCTGCCTCTGGTGTTCATGGTGTGTGTGTCAGGAGACTTCTATGTGTGAACTAAATGAAGATCAACCATTTCTCACCAGTCCCGTTATTCCTCAGTAGAGGCTTGTTGCACAATTTACATTCAGAGTTCTTAGTGTCTCCCACTGAGACAGGAGAACCATTGATCTTATATAATTTTATTTGCCGATATTTATAGAAGAAACAATTGAACAAAGCAGGAAAACCCACAGGTTGACAGAAAACAATTCTGATCCACGCATATGTCCGATTCTGTCCCCTAACCATGTACTATGGAATCATACAGCTCCAGAGACACATGTACAGAGGGTGGAGAGCCAAAAGCTATGTGGGGGATTGGGTAACTGTTCACAGCCACATAGGAAACAGAGTAAGTTTCTCATCATAAGCCAGATAGCAAGGTATCCTTGACTGTGTCCACACCCAGGCCTGTTCTTTACCAGTGGCCATGGCCATCATTTGCAGACGCCAATTTGTTGCAGTGAAGTCGGTGACCAGTGCAATGGCCAATGAAAAGACGACAGTCCCTTCCATTAAGGGACTGTATCTAGTAGAGGCAGGAGGTACACAAATATTTACAAATCCTTGGGAGCAGTGGGCAGGAAGCCTGGTTCCACTGCATTCCTCCTGAACTCCAGAAGGGAGGAGATTCTCCTCTTTCACTGGATGATCCGAATCCATGGCTCTGGGGGTGGGGTCTGCTGAGCTGAGAGCTACCTCTGCCCAGGTCTCCATGGAGACACCTCCGTCGGTCTTAGTCCCTGGTCATACTCTTTAAGTCAGCCTCTTTCAGTGCCCCTTGGGGGACATCTTTTGGTGGAAGCTGAAGAGAAGGATGGTGAGACCAACATGGGAAACCATGGTTGCTTTGAAAGTCATCTGTGAGAGCTATTTGGTGAAGAGATGGCAGAAAGAGTGAGCAGAGACGGCCACAGACTGATCCTAGAAGAAGGAAAGCATAGGAGGAAAAGGGGCGAGCATCAGAAGTCATCCTGAGGAGGAACCACACGATTCCCCGGGTCCCTCTTCCTTAGGCCCCTTGTCCACCAGCAGAAGGAAGAGCTCCCACTGTTCAGAAAAAAAGCCTCCAGTCCCAGCCCATGATTCCAGGAATCTTCCCAACCCTTCTCCTGATCAGCTACCCCATGTGTCATCCAGTTTTGTCATGCTAGCTCTGACGATGAGCCAAGGGACTCCCAGTCCTATGACGGACACCTTAGACTGCCACCAGTGTCTGCCAGTGACGGCCCCTAAGCCTCAAGGTACTCAGGCACCTGTGTTTGGTCAGCAGTCATGGGTCACAGGACGTTTGTGCTTAGGGGTCATTTAGCTGAAGCTCTCACGCTGTAGGTGATGGGAATGAGCCCCGGGTACCTGCTAAACATTTTCTATCATGTTCATTTATTGTGGTTAGCTCAAAGAGCAAAGGTGGTAGCTACTGAGACTCCAACATGTAGGGAGACCAAGGAAGACGCTGGGATAAGAAAGGCCTGTTCAGGATCATGTATCAACACGACTGTAGCTCAAAGCCTAACTGAGGGATCAGCTCAGGATCCTGGAGCTAACAGGGTCTTCTCACCAGTCGGAGGATGGAGGATGTTTCCCTCACAGCTGGGCACACTCCCACAAACCTGTAGAGAAAATCCTCAGTAAGCTTTCACCTGATATCTGGCATGAGCCAGCTAAGCTGACGATGGAGAGCCGCCTGGGGGTGCAGGATACTACGTGAGTGTGTGAATTATTCCCCCACTCCCACCCTAGCTCACTCTCCGGCTATTGACTGAGCTCCTGGAAGGCCACCTTTCCTGCCTCCAGGAGGCGCTAAGGAGCGGCAAAGGCCTGGCCTCATGACCCCAGGGAAAGGCCAGCTCTGAGACAGGCTATGCCAGCACAGAGATGTCCATCTCCCAAGCTGTCACTCAGCCCAGCAGCGACCTGCTTCCTGAGGGCCTGAACCTCCACAGGGACATCACTTACCTTCCCAGCCAGAACACACTGGATTCTGGCCCACCAGTTGAAGAGCATGGTACCATACTAAATAGACACACTGGAAAACCTGATTTAGGTTCTTGCAGAAGGAAAACCTTGAGAGGGAGAAGGGAACTGTATCCATTCTTGGGGTCTTCTTTTTCCAGGCTCCTTTCCTCCTGGAACTTCAGACACCCCTTTGGGAAGGACAGGTGATTTAGTTATTTTACTGAAGGAAAAACTAAAACAAAAGATGGTATACCAAATACATTATGACTCTAAAATCATTTTAAACAATACATAATTGTGGTGATACTTTGTTTGTGATCTAACAAATAAAGCTTGCCTGAAGATCATAGTGTGGAGCTAAACAACGGGTTAGCCATAGAGGCCAGGCAGTGATGGCACCCACCTTTAATCCCAGGACGCGGGGGCAGAGGCAGACAGATCTCTGTGAATTCAAGGCCACCCTGGGCTACACAAGATTGATTCAGTCTCACAGAGAAACACAGCCAGATGGTGGTGGCTCACCCTTTTAATCCCAGTATTTGGGAGCCACATGCCCTTAATCCCAGCACTAGCGAGGAGGAGACAGGAAGAAATATGGCTGGGCAGAGAGAGGAATGAATATATAGCAGGCAGAGACAGCTCAAGGCATTCAGTCTGAGAATTCATGGAGACAGGATCTTGACCCCTTCAGTCTGAGGACTCAGTAGAGGTAAAAAATCTCTCTACCGGCTGGCTCCTTTACTTCTCTGATCTTTCAGCATGTACCCCAATATCTGACTCTGGGCTTTTATTATTAATACCAATTAGACTATACATAGCCGTTTGCAATTTAAGCTCCCGCGGCCTCTGCCTTACAGATAAGGAAACTAAGGTTCTGGAAGTTTAGATAATTGTCCAAAGTCACACAACTAAGAATGGCCAAACTGGGATTTGGGTAGTCTGGTTTCAGAGACTAGGATCCTTCCGACATCTCACCCTTCCTTCTAGAACCCAGGCAACAAGACCTGTAAGAGGCTTACAAGAAAGAGGCCTTTTATTTTCACACTGCCACATGTGAGTTATGATCTGATCCATCCACGTGGTGCTGAAGACCCTCCGGGTTTCCCAGCCAGGCTCCTCCCCCACTGACATGTAAAGACGGCTTTGCTGTCTGATGGTCTTTGCCGTATATTGCCTTTTAGATTGTTCATTTTCCTTTTAATTTAATCTAGAATCCTGTTGCTATTGGGCAGGAGGTATCGACCTCCATGCGGGTGCAGAGATGAAGAGTGAGGAGTCCAAGGTAGGGAGATGCTACCTCCTCAGCATCTCTTTGTCCAGGTACTGGTGCCACGCTCCAACATCCAGCTGAAGGAAGGCACCTGCCCTGGATACCAGGAATGACATCCGGACCTGCTCCAGACAGGAGCAAGGGGAGGAGTTTTTACCTTGCAAACAATTCCCTCGCGTCCGGGAATCTGCAGCACTAGCACACGGTCGCCATCTGCTGAGCGTGAAGGGGAAGTTCAGTGAGACGACATGCTACAACAGGGCTAACCAGGGGAGTCCAACTGCCACACTGCCTGTTTCTATGGACCTTCTGCTCCCATGGTGTCTACCTGTTCACAGGCTGATGGCCATTAGCTTGAAAAAGCAGGGGAGAAACGCAAAAGGACTTTTGAACATGCCAAGCCTAACCTTGATCATGGAAGGATTTTTGTTGTTGTTGTTGAAAACTTAGGTTGTTAGCCAAGCCTGTAATCCCAGCTCCTCGGGAGACTGAGTCAGGAAGATTACTAGTTCAAGACTGACTTGGAGAGTTACTAAATGGCTCTGTCTAAAAAATAAAAATGAATAAAAATGGAAAGAGCTGAAGACACAGCTCTGTGGCAGAGACTGTGTGTGGTGTCCTAGGTTATTCAGTCCCCAACCATGAAAAAGGCTAACAAAAGTAAAGAGGAAAGAAAGGAAGAGAAAAGCAAAGGGGCTTCTTGGTCGCTGTACACAGGGTGGAGGCTGAGAGTCTGAGTTGGATCTGCTCTCCTGGGAGCTGTTTTCCTCACACCAAAGCCCTGCCCAGGTCCCATGACCCTACACTCATTTTCCATCCAGTGGCTTTTCGGGCCTCAGACTGAACTTTCCAACCCTCGGCTTCCGCTTGAAATAGAACCACAAGCAATAATGATGCGATTTAATAAGTGGGTATTGTAGCTCTCCATTTATAGATACAATCTGAACCCCCACCCCACTCCCAGGAAAGTTCCATGTCACATGACAAGGAACCAGCAGAGCTGACATCCAAACTGGTAAAGTCCAGGGGAGCCTTTGACGGCCCCCTGTTCAGAAGGCTCCGGGGACACCAGCTCACACGGGCGGCTCGCAGTGGTTCTTCAGGCACGTGTTTTTCTCCGTAACTTCCTGTCGTGTCCTCAGTCCCAGCCTTAGCTCCAGCCCCCTGTCGTTAAGAGGCTAGCAGAAGGAGCTGAGGTCAGCCAGGAGCCAGGCAGTCACGAACCTGAAGGAAGGGGACAAAGTGGAGAATCAAGTCACAAAGTTTGATCAGGACACTGACACCCATGGCTGGGAAGACTGACACTGAGTGACACTGTGAGAACACTCCACTGTGTCCAAGATCACGTATGTGTGTGTGCGCGCGCGTGCGTGCGTGCGTGCGTGTGTGTGTGTGTGTGTGTGTGTGTGTGTGTGTGAAACTGGAGACCACAACTATGGACCCCTCGGGATATCTACAAAGTATGACGTTGACGTCGTCCTGCTGGGCACCAAGGGGCTGGGCTGAACTTTAGTTTGCACCTTCATCCTTCCTATACACAAGGAGCTCAAAGTCTGGCTGAGGACGGAAAATGCACTCCAACCTCCAAGGCTGGTGCCAAGGAAACAGGAGTTGTTCTATAGGTCAGAGACAGACTGAAGATGGACAAACGCCAGCAAAGGGGAGGAGATACTGTTTCAAGAATATGGCACTCAAATGCGCTGAGCTCCTGGGGTCGATGGAGATCCCTGACTGGGGATGCAGGCCCCCACCAGAATCAAGGGAAAGGAGGTGGTGCAGGAAGGGGCTGGAGGCTGGTTAAGGAACATGGCTTCTGCCATTTATTGATCTACTATTTATTTATGATAAATGGCAATATTGTGTTGGTTAGCTCAACTGTTGTCCATATGAGCACCCTTTTGGGCACCAAGTCACACTTGCAGAACACCTGCCTCCAGGGTCACGGAAGCCAAGGGAGCTACTGAGGATTCTGTGCAAGAAGCTAGCATGGGTGAGAGGGGGTGTGGCCAAGGTTTAGTGTGGCAGCAGGCAGAGTGGCTGGCTCTCCCAATAAAATGACAAGTTCTCTGGGGCACACTTTGTGTTCTGTGGGGTATCGGTGTCCCCCACATGGTACCAGCCACTCTACAGGGCCTGTCTTTATTTAAAGAGATTTGCTAAGTCACAGGCTCTGCCTTTAAACTTGGCCATTTGGGAGGGAGACAGAAATAAGTCACAGAGCAGAAGAAAAACCAGAGCCCCAAGGTGGCTCCTCCACAGGTTCTGAAGGTGGCAGAAGGAGGGGCAGCCACGACCCTTCAGCCTCAGAAAAGTTGTCAGTCACCCACGAAGGTAGTGTAAGATCCTTTGGTGTTTGGAGTGGGTCACTCTGCCATTTTGGAAGAGAGTAAACAAATAAGAAAGGGGCAGGTGGGCCTGGCATCATCCGGCCGATTCACTGGCTCCTCTAGAGGCTATGGATACGTAGCCAGAGCACCTGGCTACGGATGGGATAGGGGTGCAGGCTCTATAGTCACAGCAGCTCGCTTTGTATCCTGCCTCTGACTTCCTGACATCTGTAATGTGCTTGACCCCTCTGCAGCTTCGGTGCCTCCCCCGGCAGTGTGATGAGGACCTCTGAGCCCACTGCAGTTTCCTGTGATTAGCACAAATTGTTACTCCCTTTCCTGAAAAGCTTTTTCTGACACCCCAGGGCCTTGCCCAGAGACAGGCGTTGCCCCTCCTATGTGCCCCCAGCTTGTGTCTTTGACTGTCTGTCTTCCCTGACTCATAATTATCTAAACCAACTGATGCCCCTGCCTCTGTCCCCACTGGGAGCCTCCTGGGCTAGGCGCTGTGACTGTCACAGCAAAAGTTCCTTGTGAACCTGTGGAGCAGTGGTTCCCAAGGATCCGAGGAAAGGCCAATTTGTGAGCTTAGAGAGCTGGGCAGAGGTTCGCAGCAGCAGGCAGAAATGGTAGTGGCCATGAGGTCTGGAGCCACGGTGAATCCACACATCTGTCTAGTCGCCAGGCTTTAAGCCTGCTTCCGGTTAAGGTGATTCACCAAGGTTGGTCACAGGGGTAGAACGGTCAGAGGTAACAAGGGAGTCTCAGGCATGACGGTGCCTCCTCCAAGGCCTTCTGACTTATTCCTTAGGTGCCCCCAAAAGGAATGGACCTACATCTATCAGAATATGTGACCTGGGAAGAACCGCAGGCACAAGTTGTAGGCAAGGGATCCTGCCAGTTCCAAGGGTCCCTCTGGGACTAAAACCAAAGGGCCCACTGTTGCCTGGAGAAGCTGAGACCAAGGAAGGTTCTTTAGTTTTCTGGGAGTGGCAAAGGGATCAGAAGCCAGGAGTGTCCCTGAAATCCAGAGAAGCAGAGAGGGACAATAGCTGTCTGGATGACTGTCCCCCCACTCCAAGCCCTCCCCTAGCTGGCTCCAAAGCAAGCTCAGCCCCACCTCTTAACCTCAGAATGTCAGGTAGGCCGAGTGAACAAATGAACATTCTCATTACCCAGCACAATCTCCTACCTCTGTTGCCTGAGGCCTGGACTTTTGTATTCCACAGCTTTCCAGGGCATGCCAAGGCAGCACCTGTAAGTAGAAGCAGGGTTTGCATCTTGTCTAAGCCCTTGCTGCCTGCACTTCCTGCCTCCTTCTGTGAGTCTATGACTCCCCTCCCCATCTCCCTGACATGGCCACTGGTTTCCAGACTTGCTTTGGGATATTGGACACACACTGTCCATATACCACAAAGGCACGCTATTGGCCACATTGGTCTTTGTGGTCACCCTGGGTTGCTCTATTTGAGATTTGCATTCCATGGCAGAAGCTTCGAGATGACAGGATTCAAGGGACAGGGTTATTGATATGTGCATCAAGTTAGGGGTGGAGACCAGGGCCACGCAGGCGCAGAGGAACCCCCTCTTCTGTTTTCCTCTGGTCTCATATCCAAGGCTGGCTCCGACGGAGCATCCCTGGCTCCTTCCACCTCCCACAGAACCCTCTGGTCCTTCACTGTTTACTTACTCCTCCAGGGGTTGCCTTGGTCCTCAGTGAGAGCCACCACAATTGCTGCTCCGGCTGTGCAGGCTGACAGGAGTCCGGCTGAAGCTTCCTCTGGCCCCACCTCACCTGGAAGCTCTCTGACCCTGCGCTCTGGTCTGCTGGTGAGTCCTATC